CTTCCTCTTCCTCTTCCTCTTCCTCTTCCTCTTCCTCTTCCTCTTCCTCTTCCTCTTCCTCTTCCTCTTCCTCTTCCTCTTCCTCTTCCTCTTCCTCTTCCTCTTCCTCTTCCTCTTCCTCTTCCTCTTCCTCTTCCTCTTCCTCTTCCTCTTCCTCTTCCTCTTCCTCTTCCTCTTCCTCTTCCTCTTCCTCTTCCTCTTCCTCTTCCTCTTCCTCTTCCTCTTCCTCTTCCTCTTCCTCTTCCTCTTCCTCTTCCTCTTCCTCTTCCTCTTCCTCTTCCTCTTCCTCTTCCTCTTCCTCTTCCTCTTCCTCTTCCTCTTCCTCTTCCTCTTCCTCTTCCTCTTCCTCTTCCTCTTCCTCTTCCTCTTCCTCTTCCTCTTCCTCTTCCTCTTCCTCTTCCTCTTCCTCTTCCTCTTCCTCTTCCTCTTCCTCTTCCTCTTCCTCTTCCTCTTCCTCTTCCTCTTCCTCTTCCTCTTCCTCTTCCTCTTCCTCTTCCTCTTCCTCTTCCTCTTCCTCTTCCTCTTCCTCTTCCTCTTCCTCTTCCTCTTCCTCTTCCTCTTCCTCTTCCTCTTCCTCTTCCTCTTCCTCTTCCTCTTCCTCTTCCTCTTCCTCTTCCTCTTCCTCTTCCTCTTCCTCTTCCTCTTCCTCTTCCTCTTCCTCTTCCTCTTCCTCTTCCTCTTCCTCTTCCTCTTCCTCTTCCTCTTCCTCTTCCTCTTCCTCTTCCTCTTCCTCTTCCTCTTCCTCTTCCTCTTCCTCTTCCTCTTCCTCTTCCTCTTCCTCTTCCTCTTCCTCTTCCTCTTCCTCTTCCTCTTCCTCTTCCTCTTCCTCTTCCTCTTCCTCTTCCTCTTCCTCTTCCTCTTCCTCTTCCTCTTCCTCTTCCTCTTCCTCTTCCTCTTCCTCTTCCTCTTCCTCTTCCTCTTCCTCTTCCTCTTCCTCTTCCTCTTCCTCTTCCTCTTCCTCTTCCTCTTCCTCTTCCTCTTCCTCTTCCTCTTCCTCTTCCTCTTCCTCTTCCTCTTCCTCTTCCTCTTCCTCTTCCTCTTCCTCTTCCTCTTCCTCTTCCTTTTCCTTTTCCTCTCCCTCTCCCTTTTTCCTTTTTCCTTTTTCCTTTTTCCTTTTTCCTTTTCCTTTCCTTCTTTCCTGCTAGTTCAAAGGGTTTTTCCTTTTTCAAACTACTGCTGTGGTCTTTAAAATGGGGACTTTTATCTCTTTCCACAGTGAAGGGAAGTCAGAAGTGTGAGCTGAATTGCCGTGCGATAGGTTACCGTTTCTATGTGAGACAAGCTGAAAAGGTGATAGATGGGACACCCTGTGACCAAAACGGAACTTCAATCTGTGTGGCGGGGCAGTGCAAGGTAAGGCTACTATCTCTAACAAGTCTGCCTGTAGACTGTCTATGCCATATATAACTTCTGTAAGAGGTTGATGTGACTATACCTGTGAAATGGTGTCTTGAACTCCATTTTTTTCTTTAAGTAGATGTGAAAAATGTTAACTTTTATTATTGCAGGTTTTATTTCTTAACTAATGTTTCTGTCTATTGAGAACAAATTATGGCATGCTGAAAGGCTGGAATCCAAAGGTGTTCTGACCACTATTAAGGTGATTTACAGTGAGCTTCTTTTACATATTTAGCTTCCTACAGAAGAGATTCTGTGAAAGAATCAGAACATAAAGATTGGAAGCTTAAATTAGAGTGAAACATAATAGCTTTGATTAAACTTTAGAGCGGAGGGTGTTTTTTTTTGTTGCAACATAATGGTTTATTCAGTAATGTGTTTGTTTTATTGCTTTTTAGCTGGTTAATGTAACTTTCCTGGTCCATGTTTTCATTTTTAAGAATCAGGTCTTACTGGCTGTCCATTTACTCTGCAGTGAATGTTCTTTTAGAAAATACTTGAGTGACTGGTTATTTTTCAAGGGTTCAGAAGGAGCTAGTGTGTTGACTTTTTGCATTTTGTTGTGTGGATTCCCTGTGCAATGGATAAATACAATGCTTTCTGCAAGATGGTAGCAATTTTAAACAAAATGTGTTTAGAAGAAAATGTTTGTAGTCTTTCAAGTAAGGTTAGAAATTTCTAGCAAGGGGCATTTGACACTTGGCTTTTGTTTCCCATATATGTTGGCAAAAGAAGTAGAAGTGGGTCAAATGTGACTGATGAACTCAAATAATGAAAGGTCAAGTTCAGTTTAAGTAGTTGGTTTGCCAGAGGAAATCACTTACGAACACAACCTTTTCCTCTGCATGTCGAGATTCTTCTTACTTGTGCACATCTGGACAATGCCATGTATGTTTCTGTTCTGTATGTCTTAGTGCAAGTAAAGCCATGCCTTTGAATTTCCTTCATACATGATAGATCTGTGTGAAGATCCTTATTCTGTAAAGCTACATGAAGATTATTTATTCTTTAAAGCTTTCCTTGATCTCAAACCAATTCAGAAAGGGCCAGAAATCTGTTTTAATTACAGTTCTGATCTGTGGCTCAGAAAACTGAACAATAGATTTAGTATACCAGCTGTTGTATTTTCCTAGTATTGTGCAATTACAAAAGTGTATAGTGATACATTTGTATTGGAGGTCTGGGATAGAAAGGAGAGGCAGTGTTCAGCAGCCTAGTAGGGAAGTGTTCTGAATTCTGAAAATCACCTATTGTCTGTGTAGAATGTCACATCCCAGAGTTGCATATAAATAAACAATGGGTCGTGGATCCTTACTGTGAATATGTAACTTAGGATTCACACGACTGTACAGTAATTCGGGTTGTAAGATACCTGGGAGGGTCATGTTGTTCAACACTGTACTCGGAGCAGGGCTCACTGTATCAATTAGCTATCATGGCCTTTTCCAGGCTGAGTTTTGGAACTGTTTCAGTGTTTCAGCAACATCACAGTGGAATCTTTCCTTGTATTCAATTGAAATTCTCCATGTTGCAGCCTGTGCCCTTGGTCTCTCATCCTAGCACTGCGTATCTCTGAGAATCTGACTCCATCTGCTGTTACCCTCCCATTAGATGTAGGCAGCAGTAAGATCTCCCCATAGCCTTCTCTTAAGGCTAGCAATTCCTAGGCTGTAGTGATTTTTTTGTTTGTTTGGTTTCTTTCATTCTTTCCTTTTTCCTGTGGTGTTGAAAATAGACCTAAAAATCAAAATCTCAAGGTCTATTTAAAGTGTTCCTCAGTGATGTTTACTTAATGCTTAGTGGAGTGATGCAGTCTGTCATTCTTAAAGACTTAAATAGAATTAGTTCTGTCCTGGTGCATAGTGCCTTATAAGCCATAAAGTACTATGAGAAAGCCAAGATAAAACAGGTAAAGGCACTTCTTATTCTGTTCACTGTGGTTCTCACTACAGCAAAGTAGAACCAGAGTGTGAGCTGGGACAAGAGGAGCGAGTTGGCAGTCCTCATACACAGTAGCAATAACTGTACTTGTGCAGAAAGCTGAATATTGGAGGCTTTGGGAGACACATCTAGCTAAAATATTTAAAGGTTTGTATTCTTCCTCTGAAGAGGAACTTGATTCAGATGTTTTCCAGCTTCTTGTGATTAGTTCTTTTGATCTGTAGCTATTCGCTCCTTATTCATTACTTGCAACCTCAGTAAAATTGTAAGGTAGATGTCTTCTGCAAGAGACTTGACCTTTTTGACCATGTAATAGTTACATTGAGATTTTTTTTTGTGTGTAAACCACACTCTTCTTTGTTTCAAAGTTTTGAGCTGGTATTTGAGGGAATATTCAGAGACACATATGTCAGATGAAAGGGAGTATTACAGCTTCATGGTGCTGCAAAGCACTGTTACTGTTGACTCAGTTATTCTTTTTTCAGTGATTTCCATCATTCAAGATTAGAAAGTCAGTGCTAAATCTTTAGTGAAACTACCTTTAAACAGTCAATAGCATATTTGCATTTGAGAGAAGTTGATGTTATGTCAGATGAGATAAGCTTCATTCTTCTTCTTAAAAGTACTTGATGTTTCAGGATAGATTTGTCTGTATTAAAATTACTTATCTTGTTCCTTTTTTATCTTTTCCATATGTAAAATCTCATGTTCCTTATGATTTAAGGATGAATAAATCCGATGCACAAATGAGTATTAAGTTGCATATATTGCCTGTCTTCTTAGACCCCAAGATTTTGTATTGCACTTGTGTAGGCAGCAAACCTGTTAAAATAATTTTATTTAGCAGTGATATTATACACTGTAGAGTGAACATGCATGTAGCTGAAGGATGTAATAATTAGGTAATCAAATAATTTTTATACTGTCAGATGCTTAAGAGAATATTTTTCAGAATAGTTGGCAGCATTTACAGTTAACTGAAAATGTTTCTCAAGTAATGAAGCTTATTCAAATCTTTGTAGTAGGTAGATCTTCCTTAACTGCGTGGTATTTTTTTAAATTCAGAGAATTTAGGGGTCTAATGAATTTATGGTCTCTGTCACCCTCTGTTGGACATTTTGCTGCATTACCAGAATAGTAATATCCTTGTGTTACACGTGATCTGTTTTGTTCCCAGGACCATTGTTTCTGATGCGTATTTTTAGTTTACCTTATTCTTAAAAACAAAGGATTGAAAATGTTGCTTTAATAAAAATAATGAAAATTACTTAGAAATCTAATGAAGAATGCAATAGACACCTTCATTTGAAATAAAAATGAAACATGTATGCAGTAATGTATTTCTTACTTCTCACTTTTTAACCATTTAAAACCTTGTGTAACCCAACCACAAGTAATATTAGTTAAAAGCTCTTGATATACAAGATGCGGTCACACCTTTTAACACTGAAAATACATTAAGGAGAAGCTTTGTCTTACCATCAAAACCAGAATGTTTAATACATTAATTATCTCCTTTTTGAGTTGTTAACCAATGTTAGATAGAATAGCCTTTTAAAACAAATATTGTTTAATCTTATCAGCAAAGACAAATGATGGCATAAGAGAAGATTTTGAAAGCAGTAGTATGTACAAAAGTCCTTCTTAAAGCCTGGTTGTTGTGGCCATTACAGTATCATTCAGGAAGGTCAGAACAACAGTATATTTCTGAGTACCTCTGAACAGTATCCCAGTAACCATTTCCTTACTTCCAGAGAGTGTCTTTTTTCACTGTTTGCTGTTCTTTTGTTCACCTGTCCCCGAGTTGGAAGTAAAAACTTTCTAACTTATCCAGCACAATAGGTGATACGTAAATCTCATTTTTCAGACCTAGTCCTTTAACAAAACTTAGTATGTTCTTGTGATGACATATCCTAATTTGTTTGTTGGTTTTTCCATGTTCTTATTTGTCCATGTCATTGCAGTAACTGGCATATATGAAAGTGCAAGCACTACAAAAAAGTAGACTAGACTCTGAATTCTAATGAAATGAAACCTTTTAAAAGCAATTAAATAATTTTAAAATAAAACTAGGCAAAATAGAAAGAACCGGGTGATATTCTACCCATGCAGAAGAAAGAAGTATGACCATGATCTTGATAATCAGTTTCATTATTTATGTGTAAAATTATTTTTCTGCACTTTTGAACAGTGTTCTTTCTATTAATTTTGGAATGTGAATGAACTTCTTCACTGACAATCCTATTGAGTTCCACTTTTGTTTTTTCAAAATTTTTATTTGTTGTCACAGCTGGTTATTGCTGATATATACGTTTGAATATGTTTCAGTATTGCTGAGTATGTGTTGTTTGTTTGGTACTCCTCTCCTAACTCTAAATTTTCACAGTGCTGTTAAAGAACGCCTATGAATGGGGCTTCCTCAACTTGCTATTTAGGCAGAAGTGTGTATTTTCTTGTTTTGAGATGTTTTTTTCTGCTTTTTTAAAATCAGTGTACTCTTTTATTTCTTCTGGAGCCAGTGGCATGATCCTACTCCGCAACTTTTAAGATTGCAAAAAATGTTCAAGTAGAATATTGTAGAAGTTTTAATAAATAAAGCAAAGTATGAGGAAAGAATGCTCTTAATAATTTTGGCCTTGTGCATAGTTTACTAAATACACCTATAGGGAAGTATTTTACATGTGTTTTTTTGCACTCATCTAGGACACTTCTACTACTTGGGCAGGTGTGAACACTGACTCATCATTTTGGAGACAGCAAAAAGGTTATTTGTGAGCTCTGAAGTAAAATCTTTTTGCAGAGATGTTAGTTACCACACAGTGGCGCACTTTGCAAAAGTATTATTTAGTATTTCACATGAAAATTCGTTTGGGTGGGAGCTGCAGATATATTTTAAAGGTACCTGAAATAACTATTTTTTCTCTCCTAATTTTTATATTACATTTTCTTTTACATTGTAGTTTGTTTTCATCTTCCAGTTAACTTTTGAAGTTAAGTACAAATATCTGAGCAGT